TAATCTCATACTAAAACAGATGCTAAAAGTGCATGTTTCTCTCCATTGACATAAAGAAAGCTTTGGATGCTCAGGTAGCATGCTAACCCTCACCTTGTAAAGGTCTATTGCTGGTGAGACAACCTCCAGTCTTAGATATTTCATTGCCAGCCAAAGCCCTATGGAGGTAGTAGACACTTTAGACGTTGAAGGATTTCAATAGTGTTGCAGACAATGTGGCATCAGGCCATACACGAAAGAGTGAAGAACTCTGCTGAGGAGGAAATGCACCTCACCTAATTTTAGCTGTCTGAAGAGGAGATATTTGATGTTTTCAGGTTGCCTCTGTTCCACTGTGGGTCAGCAGAGAAATGTAAGAGTCTCTAAGACAACTGGTTGTGTCTGTCTCAGACCTACCAAAGACAGGCTGAATCACTACTTGGCAGTGCCTATCTCCTTCCATTCAGCAGAACAGGAGCCCTTACAGACACTGATTTCCAGACTGCTGAAGCTGGGTGAGATATATTCTACTCATAGGGAATGTTATCCGTTTAGTGCACTGAATGAAGCAGAAGTAAAGAGGAAAAAATTGTTAACTGATCACACAGAACTTACATTTACGTTGTCTCATTTGCTATCAGGGTTTAATAAAGGTTGGAGATTTTTACATTCAGACTAGCAATATCTTAAGTTTGATATTGTGACCATTCACTGTAAAAGTCTCCTTAAACAGATACCATTCTGTTTCTCAGTGGGAGAAGAAAGAAAACAACCAAAACCATTATCATTTGAGCTGAGAAGTTAGTCAAGAAGATTGCTCAGGTGGGACTGGAAAGAAGAAGAGGAAAACTTTCACAAGAGTTTGTGCTTTAAAGTAACTTCTAAGATTGTTTCAGCTGAAGGACTGGAAAATTTATATTGTTGTTATTGTTATTATTATCATTATTATTATTATGTTTAATTCATGTGCCTGGAAGCACTGGATTGAATATGTTCCCTTGTTCACGTTAGGGCCGGACTGGGATTGTGAGGGAGAAGGCGTGATGCTTTTAATTTAGTCTTGAACCACAATATTAATGTAAAAAATAGCCAATGTTATAATCATTTCTCGAACACTTGAACAGTGTCTGGCTGCCAACAGTGCAATGGAAAAAGCTCACTTAGATCTTTCCTGAATATCTCACTGGCCATTTAGTCTGTTGCACAGCATTTTGGGGCTGGAGTGACAACAGAAACATAGGTTTTTTTCCACTACCAAGGAGGGCCCACATTGTTAGTGCCATAGGAAAAATTAGAT